AGTTAAAAACAATGTATTAACATAGAATTATCATGTGATTCGGCAATTGTACTTCTGGGCATACACTCGAAAGAACTGAAAGCAGGACTCAAACACATTTGCACACCCATCTTCACAGCAGCATTATTCACAATAATCAGAATGTCAAAACAACCCAGGTATCCATCAACAGATAAATGGATAAACAAAAGGTGATATATACATACAATGAACTATCATTCATCCTTTAAAAGGAAAGAAATTCTAACACATGGTACAACATGGATGAACCCTAAAGACATTATGCTAAGAGAAATAAGCCAGACATAAGAGGACAAATACTGTATGATTCCATAGGAGACATCTAGAGTAGTGAAATTCATAGAGACAGGAAGTAGAATAGTGGTTACCAGGGACCGGAGGGAAGTGGGGAGAAATGGGGAGTGGGTGTCTTAGGGGTGCAGAGTTCAGTGGGAAAAAGGAAAAAGTTCTGGAGATGGATGGTTGTAATGGTTGCATAATAATGTTAATGTACTTAATGTCACAGCTATGTACTTAAAAACGGTTAAAATATTCAATTTTATGTTATGGATGTTTTACCACAATAAAAAAAGTATTTCCAAACTTGGACTCCAAAATAACTATTAAACTATCATCTTTCTTTTACTTTAAATTACACTTAAGGAATATTCTTCCCCTTTCCTCACTGAATTTCTTCAGTGAGCCTTTACTATTAAAAATGCAAGGGAGAAAAAAGAACAAGGTAGACACAGAAAGAAGTCTAAGGCAAATCATTATGTGAAAAAGGTTGAAATCAATAGTTTTCCATTTCTGTTAAGGAAAAAAAGCACATCATATGTGTAACAGCATAGATTTGACATGTCTCCAAGAAAATACCCCAAACTGGTCACAATAGCTACTTCTAAGGAGGAGAATTAGGGGTAAAAATGGGAACTTCTGATTTATCTTTATTGTTGAGTAATTTAAAAATAGATCCAGGGCCGGCCGAGTGGCACGTTGGTTAAGAGCTGGCTTGGAATGCCAGAGGTCCCCGGTTCGGATCCCACATATGAGGGCCAGTGACACTGCCCTCTAACAGCTCAACCTGGAGCTGGGCTGCCGTGAGTCGCTGGCAATGGCGTAGGCTGCAGCCCCTGCTGCAGTGGGTTGCCATGGGCTACCGTGTGTAGTCAGCAGCCAGCGTGAGCGGCCAGCAGCCGCAGCGAGTGGCCGTCCAGAAGCCGGCGACTGATCTGCCTCACCTGGGAAGAGTGCAATGACTGAAGAACAAAAGGACAGCAACTTGTCTGTTCCCCTTCCCCCAATTCCCCAGCGCTGTTCCCATCCCCCAATTCCCCAATTAAAGAAAAAAAAAATAGATCCATAAATCGCCAATACCAGAGGAGGAAGCCCGGGTTCTCCTGCCCAGTGGGTTTGGCAGACTGGGCCTAGGACTGCCATGCCTGACTTTGAAAACATCCTAAAAGTGAAAAACAAGCTAATACAGGCCCAGGGTATAAGGAAACCAATCAGATTGCAGATACTATAAATCGCTGTCCATCAGAACAAAAGCGTACCTGTGAGAGCATGAGTTTCAGTTTTCAGTGTGGAAAATATGGCCACCACAGTCCTACTCCAAGAGGTGGGGAGATAACAGCTCATCCCTGAGTCAGAAGTGTAAAAGTCTACATACCATGACACCACAATGGTATAATGTAGGCAAACTATTTAACCTCTCCAGGCCTCAGTTTCCTCATCTGTAAAATGGGTACAACAAGATTATAGATTTGGGTGGGGTGGGGAGGTGTGAGGCTTTTCAAACATCTGGCATACACCGAACATCCAATAAATACCATTCATATAAAATAATGAAGTCTCATTCCCTTAAAAGGACACCTGGGAGTTAGGACTTTCCATAACCAAAGCCAAAGCTATTTCTCTCCCTTGCACAGTACCTGGCATTTAGGAGGCATTTAATAAAGAGGACTCTGGGCCTTACCCACTGGGTCCATGGTTCTCAAACTTCAGTGGGCATCCAAACCATCTGAGGAGCTTGTTAAAAATACAGATTCTCAGAGTCCATCCCCAGAAACCGTGATTCAGTTGAGTTGGAGTGTGGCCCTGAAACCTGCATTTTACCTCCAGTGCCATGCAGGGAGGGCATTTAAGAACTCCTGTTCTGGGAGTAATGTTTGAAAAAGGTGAGGCAGAGTGCAAATGTCCTCCGCCCACCCCACCCCCAAAATGTTTTTTCCCTATTCTGCTTTCTCTTCCTTCTCTACAAGAAAATGACAACTCCGTTTCGTCTCTCTTCTCCAGAGTTTTGGGAAGTGCAGTTTCTAGAAAGGATGCCCTTGCTATTTCTTTTTTCTAAAGAAATTTTATTGGGGAACAGTGTGTTTGTCCAGGACCCATCAGCTCCAAGTCAAGTAGTTGTCTTTCAATCTAGTTGTGAAGGACGCAGCTCCTTGGCCCCTGTGGGAATCGAACCAGCAACCTTGGTGTTATGAGCCTGTGCTCTATCTAACCACCTGAGCTAACCGGCCACCCTAGTCATTGCTATTTCTTGACAAAGTCTCAATAGGACTGTTTTTAAGAGAGAAGGGAGGAGAGAGACGTGGGGAAGGGAGGAAAAAAGACAAGACAGCTGTTTGGAGAGGTTGGGAGGATACCAGGAAGGCACAGGACTTGGAAAAGTTTGGCATTTAAACTCAAAAGGCTAAAAATCCTTAAACAGCACGTGTGAGGGGCAGACAGACCTATTCCATCCTCTGGGATAAAAATCCAAAGAGTTTTCCAGTTGGGAGGAATAGCGGAATTGAGAGAGAGAGAGAGAGAGAGAGAGAGAGAGAGAGAGAGAGAGAGAGAGAGAGACAGAAAATGGGCAGGAGAAAACTTGGCTGGGAACAGACAGGCAATCTGACAGCCACAGGACAGAACAACATAACTTGGATATGAGTTCAGGCAAAGACAAAGGATCCCTTCTTCAGTACTTTCGAAACAAAAAACATATATAAACAAAAATAAAGACTTACCTAATGCTTTTTTTTTGGTTTCCTGCCGCTCTGCAAATACCAGCTAACGAATTCGTCTGCCCAAGCCAGCCCCTCCAGAGGGAGGCAAACAGTTCCAGGCTCTTAGGCCATATCTGCTAAGTAAACCAGAACTACAATAGGCTAGAAGCTAAGCAGCTTGCACCCCGTCTGTAGCTGATAAAGCAGGGCTAAAGGGGTGGCTACTTTAAAGACTCACGGCTTTAGTTGGAAGTTCTTGGAAATGAACATAGTTGCTTCTCCCAGTGATCTGAGATTCCAGGATCAAATCTTATTAAAACTAGGGCCTCCCACAACGGGATGGAGTTGAGCAGAGAAGCCTGAGGAGTAGGGGTTGGCCAGGCGGGGGGAAGAGCTGCCTGTTCAAGCTTTCCTAATGCAGCCCCTAGCCGAGAGTTCCAACTCAAACGATAGTAAAGACACGTGCACCAATTCAACGGTCCTGAATGACAGTCAAGAGAATCCGTTTGTCTGGCTCTAGATTCAGAGGCTGTGCAGCTGTGACGCCTCCCGCCTCATACCTACAGTCCCCTCTTCCAGTGGGCATAATTATTGTTTAAAGTGTTTATTATAGGAAATTTCAAACATACCTATGAATTCCCTCACCCCAGGTACTTGTTACTCAGCCTCCGCCATGGACTCACCGCGAACCTTTTCTCATCGAAACCCCGAGGTTCTCAAACTTGAGTGGGCACCAGCATCACGGGGGGGCGGGGCTTCTTGAAACACAGATAGTGGGCCCTCCCCTCAGAACTTCTGATTCAGTACCTCTGAGCTGGGTCCCTCTGAGGTGGGACCTGACAACTTGCATTTTCAGGTTCCCAGGTGATGCTGATGCTGCTGGTCAGGCACCCACACTTCGCTGAACTCTGTACCCACTTGTGTTTTTTCCTTCCGATATTATTATTAAAGCCAATCTCAAGTCATCGCATCATTTCATCTGAAGTAGCCAGCGCTCCAAAAGATACCATTATCACACCTAAAAAATGATAATCCAGGGCCGGNGTCTGTGTCTATGAGTTTTGCTTGTTCATTTGTCTTGTTCATTTATTGCTTTCAGTTTTATATCCCACATATAAGTGAAGTCATATGGTTCTCGACTTTTTCTGACTTACGTCGCTTAGCATGATAATCTCAAGATCCACGCATGTTGTTGCAAATGGCAGTATTTAATCTTTTCTTATGGCTGAGTAATATTCCATTGTGTATATACACCACATCTTCTTTATCCAATCATCTATCAAAGGACACTTTGGTTGTTTCCATGTGTTGGCCACCGTGAATAATGCTGCAATGAACATAGGGGTACATATATCTTTACGCATAAATGTTTCCATATTTTTTAGGTAGATACACACAAGGGGGATTGCTGGTTAATATCATAATTCTACTCTTAATTTTTTGAGGAATCTCCATACTGTTTTCCATAGTGGATGTCCCAATTTATATCCCACCAACAGTGTATAAGGGTTCCTTTTTCTCCACAGCCTCTTCAAAACTTATTATTTGTCTTGCCAAGAATAGTCCTTCTAACTGGTATGAGGTGGTATCTCATTGTGGTTTTGATTTGCATTTCCTTAAAAGCTAGTGAAATTAAGCATTTTCTCCTATATCTGTTGACCGTTTGTTTGTCTTGGGAGAAGTGTCTCTTCAGGTCCTCAAACGAAGATTTTTTAATTTTTCTTTTTTTGGGGGGGGGTGGCAGATAAGAATGTATTATTTTGTCAGCAAGGAAGCAATTAAAAGAACTTATAAACCTACCTTTGAGGAGTGCACATTCTAGTAGAGGTTCAAGCAAGTAAATAATTAAAGGGTCAAGAAAACTACAAGGTCACTGATTGATGATTGGAATGTCAGGTAGACAATAATAGTAATAGCCAGTAATTACTGAAGGCCTACTGGGTGTTGGCCACTGTGTGCAAAGTCATGTTTTACATACCTTATTTCTTTTTATCATAATATCTTCATGTTACAGTTGAGGAAATTAAATCTAGAGACGTAAGTAATTTGCCCAATGAGACAAGTCCAAGCTGTTAACCACACTAGGTTCTACTGGGGAGTTAGCCTGGAGAAGCATTCTGTCGTATCAAGGAAGACTTTTCCTATCTCTCTCTCTGCCTCTATTTCCCTAACTAGCATTTCCATTTATTTCTTATTATAGGCTTCAGTCTGAAGAAGGCACTGTAGGGGCTGTCCTTCTCTGGAATAACAAAATGCCTTTAAGAATTTCCTCATTAGAAGCATCAACCTGCAGGTAAAATACGATGACAATTCAGAAGCAAAAAGTGACTTTTCCATTCTCCACTCTCCTTCCCCACATCCCCTGTGCCCAGCTGGAGGGTGGCCTCCCAGAACTCATACCTAAAACATATGTAATGCTTTCAGCAGAAGCAGTACATGATGATATTTTCAGTAGATTTGCTTTTATCACTTAACAATAGAGCATAAACCTCTTTACATGCGAGCACTCATAACCTACTTAATTTTTAATGGGTTTAATATAACCCACATGTTATTATTTTAGTAACTCCCCTTTCTAATGAAAACATCAATTGAAGTTCTGATCGATACTAACAAAATGACGTTTAAGAACCACTTTTACCCTTTAGCCTTTGCTTTCAGGAAGTATGCTTATGTTTATGATGTCTCCATGGACACAGCAACAGGCTAGGTGCAGCTCTGGATGTGTTGGAAGACATGTTTTACACCAGTTTTCAATCTGTAACAGTCTGCAGACCAACAGCCAGAGACACAACTGAACGAGGTTGTCTTTGACCCTCATGTACTTGCACAATCAGCAGTGTTATACACCTGTAAGATCCGAGATAATAACTGTCGCAGCAATCAGGATTTATCAGGGAAATTTCAAAGTCGTGTCCAGGCAGGGCAGGCTGAGGACTACGCCTTAGGATCTGCTTCTCTTCTGCCATTTTTCCAGCTACCGACCTAGATGGGGACTCTTCACCTCATCTCCAGACTCCTGCTGATGTCTTCAGGGGTCTCTGAACCTCAGGCCTCCTCCTGTGCTACTAACCACTTGGTATAGGGTGGCCAGATTACACTCCTCTAGTCACTGTTTTGTGCATGTTGCCCCTGGTTCAAATACCTGTACAAAATTCCAGATCTTTATCTTGGCGTCCCAGGTCCTCCTCAGTGTTGCCCCAACCTACCATTCAGCTCTTATCTGAGTTGCTCTTCTAAGCTCATCTCCCTGTCTTCAGCCAAGGTGGTCCTCTCTGCCCCCAACTCACCTGGCTCATTCTACATTCTCTCTTCTAAGAGAGGCTCCTGCCTGGCAGGCCCTGCCTGGCTCCCACAAGCCATTTTTTCTATTGAAATCCTTCCCTAACTCAAGTGAAATTCCTCTGAAGACTTCCGATCCCCTCAAGCTCAAACTTTTTCCTCATCCCAACATAANCTTACAATGCTGAAGTGTACAGATCTTAATTAAGTACACAGATTTATCAGTTCTAACAAATGATACACCCTGTAATCCCGATCCCCATCAAGATATGGAACATTTTCATGACCCCAAAATGTTTCTTTATGCCCCTTCCCAGTTAGCCCTCTCCTCCCCCCATACGCTTTCCATCCCCATCCTTGTAGCCCCTGCAAATAACACTAGTCTGATTTCTCGCTTTGCCTATTCTAGAACTTCACAGAAGCAAAACTATATAGTATGCAGCCTGGTGTCTGCCTTCTTTCACGCAGCATGTCTGTGAGATTCGTCCATGTTGTCACACTTGTCAGTAATTTGTTCCTTTTAGTTGATGAGTAATATTCCATTGCATGGACTTACCACAGATTGTGTAGTCATCTGTCAATGGACACCTGGGCTGTTTTCGGTTTTCAATTATTATGAATAAAGATGGGGAAAACAATTACGTTCAATCCCTTTTTGAGGACATTTGTTTTCTTTTAGGTAAATATCTAGAAATGGAATTGCTGGATTAAAATGAACTTGTTCTTTGCATTTTTCCTTAGTTAGGGCGTCATGATCCCAAACCAGGATAAAATGGAAGCAAAGAGAAGTGGGGTGGGGAGGGGGGTAAATTAAAGCTGGATGGAGGAGGGGGCAGCATTTCAGAGCAGAAGAGGACATGGAGGGTGATTTGGAAGACCGCAGCCAGCCCAGGCTTCTCTTCATACTGCTTCTTTGTCTCTGGGTACATCAACTTCTCAGGCTCCCAGTTTCCTCACCTGGAAACGAGGAGCAATACAGGCACAACCCGTTCTATTGCGCTTCGCTTTATTGCGCATTGTAGCTATTGTGCTTTTTATAAATTGAAGGATTGCGGAAACCCTGTGTCAAGCAATTCTGTCAGCACTGTTTTCCAAGAGGCTCAGGTGATGGCTAGCATTTTTTTTTAGCAATAAAATATGGTTTCATTAAGGTGTGACCATTGTTTTTGTAGACATATTGCCATTGCACACTTAGTAGACTACAGGGTAGCGTAAACGTCACTTCTTTATGTACTGGGAAACCACAAAATTTGTGTGACTCGCTCTGTTGCTTTATTGTGATGGTCTGGAACCAAACCGGCACTATCTCCCAGGTAGAGGCCTGTAATGATAAAGAGGTGGGAGGCAGGAGAGGACATTTTCAGATAAACACACCAAGAACGTGGGTGGGTCATTGTCAGATCTCTTGCCCTGACTCCATGGTGGGAAAACATAGTCAGCATCTCCATCATTGAGCATTCAGTGAGGAAGAGATGAAGCTCATTGTGGCTTTCTGGATGTGCCCAGGGAAGAATGAAAAAACTGACTAGTCTAGATCCAGAAAGTTCGCCCTGTGTTAGTCTCCTGCTCACTGTTCACTGGGGCCGATTTCCCATCTTTGGAGCCTATTCTTCCTTCCTCAACAATTCACCAAGGCAGGAGACCCAGGCCCAGGATTCACATGCTGATAATATCTAAATTCGCCAGTGGGGTGAAGTAGGGTGCTGGTGGGAGTGGAGCATGCCATGTGAAAGATCAAGGGAGGGACAGGGATGCCTTTTAGCACTTGCAGAGGGGAGCTTTGCCAGTGAGACTTCAGCCCTGGACCCTGGACCGTGAGAGCGTCCCCAGGAGTCACCAAGCACCATCTGTGTGGCCCCAGTCAGCCCTGCATAGGTATGGCTGTCCCTGTTGCACTGTAATCTCAGACAGCTGTGCTTTCACTTTGCATCTCTTCAGATTTCCTGTAAATAATAAAGATCCATTCACTATTGAACAACGGAATGAACCATCCTTCTTGTGGCTTCCGGTTGGGGAGAAAAGAGGCTGAGGCAACATTTTTAAGGCCGTGCAGGATGGCTGCATTGCCCAAGTGACCTAATGCTGGGATCACTATTTCCAGAGTGTTAGATTTTCCTGCTGCCAATTCCAATGTAAGTCTCAAAATCCTACGGCCCTTCCATGAAACTTTTCCCTTGTTTATAGGCAGGGATATTTTCCCCTCTGTGTTCCTGCTGCCTCTGGCAAGATCTTAAACATCATCAAGGCAGAAAAGTACACGGCTCAAAGTGGGGAGAAAAGGAGAGGAAAATGTGAGCTTTAATATGTTACAGAATTCCCCGCCCCTCCGGTAGTGTCTGTGGTTCTGATTACAATAATTTTGCCTGGGTCTATTAGCTCTTATTTTATTGAAATGACTTACTCTTGTTTTTCTTTCCTTGCTCCCAAAGGCATGGCCTTGAGAGGGAGACGGTTTGGCAGCTGGGAGAAGCATGGGAGTAGGAGGGACGCAGAGTCTCTGGACTTGAGTATAAGGCAGGGGCCTGAATAATAAAGCTGTCACCACTCCTTGGTGTACGCGGCAGCGTCCCGTCGGATTACAGCACCCAAGGCGCAATACCATCACTGACTTTTATTTCAAAACAGAAAAATGAACGTCACCTGGAAAGTCAGCCTACATTCTTCAGATTCTAGTTCTGGCTCACCACGAGCCACAGGAGCTTGGACAAGTCACTTCACACCTGGGCACCTCAGGGAGCCTCTATTTAGAAACACACGTAACAGCAGTTCAGATATATAGATGTTACAGTGAGAGGTACTGAGGACTAAGGTTTAGGGACATAGAGAAAAGCAACTCAAGGAACTCTGCAGTCAGCTACGTCCAGGCTTTTCTAGCCTTCTCTCTCACACTCCTACTTCTTAGTTCCCCAAATGGAACAGCCACACACACACACACACACACACACACACACACACACAC